CTTTTTTTTTTTTTTTTTTTTTTTTTTTTTTCTGTTCATCATGTTACTCCTATTCTATTCATGAATTTTTTTTCTTGAATTTATAGAACAAAAAAAAAAAAAAAAAAGAAGTTTTCTTTCTATTCTTCTGAAAGGCGTTATGTTTTGAGGGTCTAAAAAAGAATTTTTACTGCACTGGTTGACTTACTTTGTTATTGTGCTACTGCTGCTGCTGCTGTTGTCGTTTTTGGTTGTTTTTGTTGTTGTTGTTGTTGTTGTTGTTGTTGTTGCCGTTGTTGTCGTTTCTGCTGTTGCTGCTGCTACTGCTGCTCTCCCTTTCTCTTCATTTTTCTCTTTCTTTTCAATTTTTTTTATTTTTATCTTCATCCATCCTTTCAATCGTCCTTCCGTCTCTTAGAGATCATCGTCAAACAACTGCCCAAAATATCACAAATACAACAAAGCAATTCGTATTTAATTTCTCCAAAAAAAAAAAAAGAAAAAAGAAAAAAGAAGAGGAAAAAAAGATGTTGCATAGCCCGCTTTAAGTTTCACATATGTATTGCTAATTTATTTGCAGTAGATAAACAGGGGCAAAAAACTTCTTCCTCCTTCAGCATCGCCAACACCAGTTCCATCACCAACACCAACCAGCACCAGCTTTAGCACTACCATCACCGCTAATTTCACTATCATCGTTATAATCATCATCATCATTATTGTCATCTTGGGCGGTGGCAACATTATTATCGTCGCCATTATCGCCATCAAATCACCAGTATCACTGAAATTACCACAGACAACAGCCATCATCGCTACTACCACTACTACTACCATCATCATCATCATCACTATCGGCACCACCAAGTTTTTCTCAGTTCTGTTGTACTCAAAATCTATTCAGTTACGCTTCCTTCCCTTTCATTAAACAACAAAACACTTCTTGGTATTGTTGTGCAGCTATTTGGTTGTTTGTTGTTGGTGGTTTTTGTTTTGTTCGTCGATCAAAAATATCATCATCATCTTCGTCGTCGTCATCATCATCATCAACTTCAACTTCATCATAAGTTTGCAGTCGGTCTTCCACCACAAACAACACATACACACATACACAACATACACACAAATACACAAACATATACGCACACAGAGCGTTCATCGGCCTCAGTTGCTCAGTTTGTGGTTCACAAAACTGCAACAAAACTTCTTCAACATTGACTAATTCGTTGGCTCTATCGCCGGCAGTTCCACTATTCTACTGTACCGGTTACCGTTCAACTATTAATGGCTGTTCGATTACTGTAGCCTTTGCGTTGACAACCCCTACTCGTTCATTTCCTATCTCTCCACCCTTTCCTCTCCCTTTCAATCTTTCACCTTTTCTTTCTGTCTTCACTTTTTTTTTATTTTGAAGTACTTCTCCTGATTTTTTTGTCACCAGTTCTTTTACTTTCTCTTTTCTCTTTTTTATTTTTTTTTGTTTTTGCTATAACAGCTCAATAAATTGCTCTAAATAATGCAGTTTATTCGATTTTGTACTGCCTAACTCTTTGTAAAACAAATTCCAAAGTAACAAACAAACAAGCAAAATTGAGATATCATTTTAAGTAAACGAGAACACATCTACTTTTTTTCTACTTGGTTTTTCTCTTTGAATCAAATAATAAATGGACAAAAGTACTTTATTGATTTATAAGAAAAAAAAAGAAGAAAAAAGTTTTTTTCTTTTTTTACTGCATATCTGTATTTTTTTCTTCTCATTTTTTTTTCTAGCTTAACAATAAAATATTTATGTTAAAAATACGCCGAATCATGTGTGAGGATAAGAAAATTTGCTTAAAAATGCTCAAGCAAAACTCAAGTATCTATCTGGACAAGAAAAAAAAATCAAAAAAAGCTTTGAGTTAAAAAATCTTTAAGTGCTTTTTTTTTGCTTTTGCTTTTTCCTTATTTTATTTACTTTTTTTTTTGCTTTTTTTTTGTCTACTGAAAGCTATAATTCAACAAAAATAAACAGCAAATTTTTATATGCATTATAATAGTTTGTACTTATATAGATTTTGGTGATATGCATAGACATCTTTTTTTCTAAATATATTCTTTTTTTTGTCCTAATAAAGGTGA